GAAGCGAAAAAAGGCTTTTGCAGTGATTTTTTATTAGTGAAACGTTATGTGCTCAAAAAGTACTTTAAAGAGTAGAAATAAGTTACCTGGGCAATTGATTTACATTAGCCAATCAGACGAATGCACTCCTATGGTTAAAAGGGTTGAGTATGATACATAGAAACGTGATTGCTAAAAAAGATAGTTGTGTATTTTACAAAAAAAAAAAATTTATATAAATATACCTGTTATTCAGAGCGTAGAAAAAAGCGGGGGCAGATCAAAAAGCACGCACAAAACAGGGCAGGCAATAGCACAAGCATGAATAAATAGTGAGAGAAAGATTATATAAAATCGTCTCAATTTGGCTGTGTGATTAATTCTTGTTGACTTCCATAAAACCGGGTGAGACCTATATTTCCTTTTATATCGAATTTTTAGCTAAAAATGAAAGCAGATCTTAGTCAAAAAAGCATACAACAAATCACAATACTCGGATGTGTAACACGATAAGAAGACAAGTTGAGTAGAGCGTTAAATAGAAAATGCCGATATCTTTATTTATATATATATGTGTTACTGTGACATCTTTATTTCATCGTTATCAGATTTTTTTGTGTTTAAAATGTGGCGTAACACATATCTTTATTTATATATGTGTGTTACTGTGAAATCTTTATTTCATCGTTATCAGATTTTTTGTTTAAAATGTGGCGTAACACATATCTTAATTTATATATAAGTGTGTTACTGTGAAATCTTTATTTCATCGTTATCAGATTTTTTTGTGTTTAAAATGTGGTGTAACACATATCTTTATTTTTATATACAGTCGCACACCCATATAAGCACCTCCTATATAAGCACATTTATTTTTTGAACTACTTACTATTAAACATATAAAAATTACTCTCTATATAAGCTCATTTTCTATATAAGAACGCTTTATAGGTCCCGATGGTGTGATTATATGGGAGTGATGTTTACCATACATGTCATCGCCATTGCACAAATCCTTATAACGGACAAAAAAGTAATCCAATTAATTAAATTTAGTTGAGTTGTTAGTGATTTATAAAAAATATATATATATCCCCCGATCTTTAAAAAAAATGAGCAAAATGTCGTTAAGATCATTTTTTATCAAATATAAATATCTGGACTTTTGACTTCTCGCTTTTTTTCCCCATTAAATAATTTCTTGAAATTTTACACATTTAATATACTGTAGTCTTTTTTTTTGTTTATACCTTTTGATTAAAACGACAAAGTTTTTTTTTCATTTGTCGCCTATAATAATATCCATTGATTTATTATTATACCATGTCCTTTCCATATCGAGAGCGACAACAACGAGGACCTTATGTGACTAAGGCATGTACAAATTGCCAAAAAAAACACGCAAAATGCACTGGAGGAGCAGCTTGTAAACGTTGTACACAACGAAATCTTGAGTGTACCTTTATCGATTCGGGTAAAAAACGAGGACCGAAAAAGAATGATAAACACTCAGAACAGGTCTATGCTCTTAACGGTCCTGAAAATGATTTTAATGGAACCTCTATGATATCCTCCGATCCTGCAACCGATTTTAATGGAACCTCAATGCTATCTTCCGGTCCTGCAACCGATTTTAATGGAACCTCTATGCTATCTTCCGGTCCTGAAAATGATTTTGATGGAATCTCTATGCTGTACTCTGGTTCGGCAAACGATTTTAATGGAACCTCTATGTTATCTTTCAGTCCTGCAAACGACTTTGATGAAGCCTCTATGCTATCCTCTGGTCCTGCAAACGATTTTGATGGAACTTCTATGCTATCCTCCGTGACCCCTAATCCCGAACAAGGTCACACATCGACTTTATTATTTTCATCAGGAAATTTACAACGACAACTAGATAATTTTGACGACTTTACTCTTTATTCTGACTTTTATGTTTCTCAAGAACTCAGCTCATTTTCTTATCAAACTTGTACCAACACTGGATATGCTATGCAAAAAAACCATTTTATAGATAACACATATATTAATAATAACAATTTCTTTTTATCTAATAATTTATTAGTTGATAATAACTATATGTTACCATTCCAAAACTAACTTTGTATTTTTTGACATTTAATTTAAAGTTATTAATATGCTGCAATTGAACCGTTATTCTTATAGTTCTTATTATTTATTTATAGTTTAATGATATTACGAATAAGTTATCAATTAAACTAGATCTTATATAGCATAAGTTTGTTTTAAGAAAAAATTTTGTGAATATGATTCCTTTATTATTATGGTTTTTTCTGTATTGATGGGTGAGAATAAAATGAAAATTATATGTATAATAAATAAAATCTCTTTTTCTTTTTTTTTTAAAAAAAAATAAATAAATACAAAGTTTACCGTATTTTCGCGTAATAACGCTCATGAGCGTTATTTCGAAAATCATGCCCCCTAAAAATAATATATATAGTTTCGAAATAACGCTCATGCGCGTCCCAAATTAGCGCGCACCCCATAGTAAAGATTTAAAAATATTTCGGAACTGGATTTAGTACCTTCGAACTTCAACAAAGTTGTTTTTCAGAACTTTTGTTAAAGCTCTAAGGAAGGTTACTTAGTACTAAATCTAGTATTTTTTGTTTGTTTATTTTTATTCAAGAATTATATAAAATTTTTTAATTGTCTCAAAATAATGCTCATATGCGTACTCAAAATAACACGTATATATTCAAAATAATGTGCAGATAAGCATTATTATGCAAAAATATGGTAAAAAAAATAGTTAAATATGTAAATAGTATAAAAGATTTTGATAAGTTTTCAAATTGGTATATATACTTGTTATTATTATTTGATATCTTATTATAACAGAGTAATTTTTTAAAACAATTTAAAATTATTATTATTATATTATATAATATTATAACAAATACAGTATATAGTGTTAAACACCATAGGTGTATTTATAATAATTGAAAAAAACAAAATTTCTAAATTTTCTGATTTCACATTATACAAATCAAAAAATTAACTTATATAGCCTTAAATATAAGCATAAATCTATTAATTTATAGTTGAAATTTTTTTTTTTAAAAAAAAAACCTGACTTGCCAACTGGAATTTCAGAACACCACATTATGCAAAATGAAAAATTAATTTTGTGTGACTTTATTCTAATAAAAAAAGGGTGTATGAACACTGTTCCTCTTATAGAATAAATAAACTTGATACCTAGAAGTGTCAGAAAGAAAGTTGGATGCAATATTTTTTTATTATTCTAATAGATGAACATGTAGTTTTGTAAATATATTTAATATATACTTTGAACATTAGCATTTACAGAACACAAAAATTATATTATATTTATATATTTTACTTTGAAAAATATTACTAAATCTCAACATCTACTCTCTTGTTTAATCATACAAATATACACAACCCATATTTCATGATCATGTAAAAAGGCTACAATGTAGAAAAACCAATATGACTATTTGTTAAAAATACCTGTAGAGTATATATGATAGTACTATAGTCATCACAACACTGAATAGGAAAACTATACCCAAACAATTGACTAGAGTTTTACCTGGCTTTACTTAAACAATAATCAAAAAACTACATCTAATATTACATCTCCTAAACTTAACCAAATAAAGGCATTTAGATTTAAATACCTGCTTAATGACCTGCCAACATACTTCCACTTTTACCACATTGCCTTAACAGACTAGCACTTGCTTCTCCTGTAGTATGCCAGATTCACTCAACTACTAGATAAGCTACCAGAGCACCCCAGAACTTTTATAGATTATAAACACCCCTCTTACCAAAATAGCTAGCAAACATATCAGCAAATCAACCTCATCTGACAACAAAGCTATAATAAATCTCATTAAGTTCTACCCATCTCTTAACTATCTATCTACTCTTTCTCTATATACACATCAGCTACCTGCTACTCTCAAGGGTCTTATCTCTGCACAACTACTTGAATCTCTTTAGCCACTAGACCTACAATACAATGAGGTAGCTAACATCATACATAATACAAATATTACTCCTGGTATCTGCAGAAATTTATGACCAAATCTAGAAACTATATTGTAACAGATTTGCGAAATAGAAGAGACAGAACAACATACCATCTCTAAATGGTGCTACACCAATAGGTTCACAAGCTCACAACTATACCAAGCAATATTGAAGAAGGTTTAGCTACAACTGCTCTTGTGGTATAGCTAACCAACTGCATGAAGACAATGGCACATGCTCTACAAAAAGACTAGCCCAGCTAAAATTCAACCAGTGGTCCACAGCATGGATTCAATTTAGCATACATACAAACCAAAGACTAACCATTAAAATCTAGATAAGTCTTAATCACTCTAGTAGATTTAGGTTGCAGATAACTAATTTAGCCATAGCTGAGTTTTTAGTCTAAGCTTTTATTCTTGCATGTAGTTTATATAACCTTTGTTATTATACAAACTATTACTATGTAATTACTTGTATAAACTACCCAATAAAGATATAAGCAAGGCCTTACCTTAACATCAAAAAATAATAATAATAATAATGTTATTAAATCATATAATCGAGAAAATAAAATCATGGATTAGAGATATTGGATTTTATTAGATTTTGCAACCAGAAATAATAAATAATTTTATTTTTAGTAAAAGTTCTGAACACATAATTAAGGCATAAATACTTCATTTGTAACAGGCATTCTAATATATCATCTTCTAGACTTGCAAACTTATGACTATTCTTTTGTACAAATTTTTAAGAAATTTATTAATATTACAAAAGGCAGGCAATATAAACTTTTAATCTTCTCTCTGAAGTTCAAAAAAAATAACAACCAACCACTAGTATACATTGGGGATTATATAATTATTTTTATTCTCCCAGAATATGATAAAATAAAACTGGATTGTAATTAATGTTGTAGTTTAGATATGGAAAATTTATATAGATACTAGCATGTAACCATATATAGATTTGATTCTTTTGATTAATTTTATAATAAATAAAGCAAAAGATATTGATATAATTTTTACAAGTATTTTTTTCATATGATTAATCTTTAGAATATATCCAATTTTGTAATATATAAACAATATTAAATGATCAATTAATAGTGCAAGACATTAATAAGAGGCTTATTAAATTAATTAATCTTGGCTTCCAGTTAAATTATAATGTTATTGAAGATATTTTTCATTTATTTGAGCACAGATTAGTTAATATAGTAACACATTAATTGAATTATTTTTATACATTAAACAAAAATTTCTCGAAATGATACGAACCCGGTTACGGCAGCACAACAGGTACTAATTAGAAGGAAATTACCGAACATGCAGGTATAAACATGTGT